AAAGCGAGTGCATTTTGCAGATTTCATAATCTTCTCCAGACTTCCTTCAAATTTGCATTTTTTTTTTTCAGTGGACGAGCATTCGCCGGAAAAAAGACCGAGCTTCATGCAGAAAACTGATCATGCACACTGGTGTCCCATGCGACCCCATAATGCAACACTATCCCAGTCGACACTCTTCCCCCTGCATGCGGGAAAAGACCAAAACACAGCCAATATGAGTTTAAGTGTTAAAGGACAGCGCAGGAACTATTCCTGCTATTATCGATCTGCAAGCCTAGCGCAAAAACACATGTATGCATCGGCAAGTTTGGTACATTGCAGCCTGAGTTTTTTTTTTTTTTTTTTTCATTTCTTGTATTTATGCATAGCGAGCTAGAAAGAACTAGAACTGTTATCGTGCGGCGCGATGAAAGTTCGATTTCATCTGCGGGACGCTCCGTCCTTCTACAATCTATTTGACTGGTACGCGCACATCAGGAAGTTAAACTCCTCCACAAGCTTGCCTGTAAAGCAACTTTTGAAAGACAAGGCAAACAAGAGCTCTGTCAATGGATGGGCGGTTGCTGTTGGTATTTCCTTCCCGAGAATCTCCGCCTCTCATCGAGAGCGCATACAGCGAAAAAACTTTGAATTTTGGCTGAATAGTTAGAAAGCCTAATTTTCGAAACTAAATTATCAGCCCACAGCAACAATATCAGCCTTTTTTAAATGCAGTGAGCCCCCGTCTATATTATTTTCTTCATCATTTATATTCTTTTTTCATTTTCTTGATATTTCATTTCTTGATATGTTCTTGATATTTGATTCTTGATATTTCAAATATTCTTGGATATCATTTGATGACAAATCAATGTCTTCATTTTCTTGGCATTAAAACTGTTATTATCATGCTTATCGCACTAAATTATGAACTTAAATAAAAAGGCTGGAATAATAAAAAAGGCTTTACCTAGCGCACTCGAGATCCAGAACTTCGAGCACCACATTGATAGCATTCAACATTGAGTACACAAAGCCCTCATCGCTTGCCAGTGCTAGATAATTCTCAGAGATTAGCGCCAAGCGA